CTCTCTCTCTCTCTCTCTCTCTCTCTCTCTCTCTCTCTCTCTCTCTCTCTCTCTCTCTCTCTCTCCATGTGTGTGTGGAAAATCCAACCAAAAAACGAAGGCCACTGCCCTCCGTTCCAACCTTGTTTCCTTATTATTTCTCGATCACAAGTAATCCAAAACACCCTTGATACTTGCTTTTTGTTTCCTCCATTCTTCTTCTTCTTCTTCAATTTACGATCAAGAAAACCCCCCACCGAAGATGGGACTTTATCCGGCCAATGAAAGAGCAACACCCTTCTTTCTTTTTCTCTTTTTCATCGCCCGAACAACCTCAAACACCTTCCCCGCCTTGTTGTTGCGTTGCTCTAATCAGCCCCCTCTTATTTGTGTTTTCTGCCAGATGGAAAAAATACAACCAGGAGTTGCCTGAGCAGCCCTCGCCTGCAAAGAAATCAATGACAAATTTCCATTTTATGCTTCCATTTGTCTTCTCCTTCTCTGATCAGACGAGAAACGGGGAATCCCGCTCCCCTTCCTACCCCACTTGTGTTTCAACCGATCAGACCAAAAGAAGAAGGAATTCGCCGGAGCAGCCTTGCACCGTCGGCGCCCCTCCTTCTCTAATCAGCCCCCTCTTATTTGGGTTGACTCGAGAGCAGCAGTTTGGTTTGGAGAGGTAATTGGGAAAGAGGAAGCAGACTCATGATCCGATTATGCTGACAACATTTGATCAGATTGATGTTGCCATGCATAGTGCTGGAAGCCAGAGGGGCCACAACATTTTCGCTAAGGGTAGCGGGACCCATGAGCATGTGTATGGAAAGTAAAAATATGGCATCTGCGGACGGAAGGGTCATGTTTGCCAAGATTGCATCCTGGAGGTAGAATTGTGTCAATGTTGTCATCAACCTGGTCATATTAGGGCAAGTTTCCCACCGTTGCTGATTGGGGCGGCTCAGATCCTGTTACCCATGGTTTTTCAGGAGCCGGAGCCAAGACTTCAAGACCTCGCGGGTATGTATTCCTTCATGCATTTGAATTGATTTTTCTTATATGATTGGGTTTTGAGATGTATCTTCCATTCAGTTTCCCTGTAACTGCGTAATTATTATTATCGAGCGTTGTTATATGCCAATTTTCATACCAAGGCTCATGAGTGGAGCGCATCTTGTTGAGTTGGATTTAGGTTAGTAGTCATTTTATTCTGGACCCTTGGTAGGAGCAAACTAGGGGTCCTACTCGGAGGATCAGTAGTCGGATCGGCATACTAGTTCAACACCATGGGGTAGAGGAATTTATAGTGTAAATTCGTTTGATTATTGGAATTCAAGATAGTTCTGTGAGGTAAGGGATTGGTCAGAATTCGAGTACAAGAGAATTGCCACCGGATTGATGTTGTCAGGTTGTGATGGTGGTCCTCGCATAAGAAGTTTAGAAGAAAAGATGTTGCGGAAATCGGTTGTCTCTTTCTGGGACAACGATGACAGTATCAGAGGTGTCTGTGTCTATTGGAAATGTTTGGAGTGCATCAATCCTTCGGTGAGTGGGTTATCGGACTAGAGATCTATCCGTTCTAGCGAACGGGTTATCATTTGTTGTCTTTAGAGAGGATGGCATGATGTAGTTAAATCAAAGTAGGGGAGAAATGTTTGTATTTTCGGGCATAGTTTCAGGTTTAAATCAAGGAACAGTTCCACATCTTAGTCAAGTGGAGAGTCAGTTTTATTCGCGGTGTGGACTAAGGTTGCACAAGGAATGAGGAATTCTGGTTGTTATGACGAATACGAGAAGCATCAGTAGTTGCGCATGTTATTGTCATTGGCCTCCGATTAAGGGATGTGTTAGAGCCTCTCAGCCTTTTCTTGTCTAATAAAGGCTTTGGGGTTCAAAGTATGACCCAACACTATATTGGGAATAGTCGGATGAGGTTTCGACTCATTAGTGATCATGGTTTAGTATGGGAGATGGATGCTTGTTATAGAAGTGTCGTAATACTACGGTTAGTAGTAGCATTCAATAGGATAGGTTGGACCATTATAGGAGTGGTTATTGACTGTAGGAGGATTACAACATATGCATGGGTCGAGTCATGCAATATTATTGGTTGAGCACTCCTTGTTTGGAATCAGGATCGTTGGATGTGAGGCGATGTTTGGCCTGTACAACACTCGAGTGGGTAAGAACGGTGGGCGAGATCCATTTAGCTACGATAGTATGGGTGAGACCCAGTAGAAAGGGGCTTAATTAAGGTATTGGACCACGTTTAAAGTAGGACGACTCTGTTGTCAACGACTGGTATCCATTTGGTGTTTAGGCTCAATTAGTCTGTAGCAGTTACACTCTTGGGCAGAGTCTCATGAAGTGATCGTGTGTGAATTGTTGAATGAAGCGGACAAATGGGGATTTTAAATCCCATCTTAGTAGAAGGTCACCATGGAATTAGAAGATCTCGGAAAGAATAATTGTGCGAATCTTTTGTTATCGGGATGTGAGTTATAGATGGGTTTGTGTTTAGGGGTGAGACTCGTGATGGGAGTCACCCCTGCTATCAAAGGGAAAGTTGTTCGGCAGCAATGAACGACAATGGATTATGTTTCTAGTGGTATCAGCAAGATAATTCAGGATCGAAATAGTTTTGTTCAGTTGGGGTTACGAAGTGGAGTCGTTTTGATTGTGTTCCAAGATGGGTTCATTTATCGGAAAGTCATACATGGTTTTGATTCCTGGATTTTAAGTTCATATATTGGAACAATGGTAGATGCAGTGCAATTATGTCGAGCTCTTCTCATTGGGACCGGAAGTACCTGAAACTATAAACATGAAATTGTAAGCACAAAGCTTAGTGAGTTCCCGAAAATTCCCCATGTCATATATACATATCAGCGCGAAGCTGTAACAGGTCTACTTCACCCTCGAGTCTATTTCAACTCAATCGATATTTCCAGCTAAAGAGGTATATTTCTCCCCCGTGTCAATTTCTCCCCCGAGTCTATTTTAATTAAGTTGGTATTTTCAAACGAACATGTTTATTTCACCCCCGGGGTCTATTTCACCCCACATATATAGAACATACAGTCATATCAGCAAGATTCACAAAGACAACAAGAACATGCATACATGCATAAAGGAAAGTATCACAAGGAGAACTATCATCCTACATGTCACACCCCCAAACCAGACGGCGGAAACGTCCGGGGGTGGATGACTTCATTTGTAGTATCACAACACATGCATTATAGTAATCAGAGTACAAACAACCACTGTATTTAAAAAGTATAAGTATTTACATGTGTTTGATCATTGTATACTGAAACCAAATAGTTATAAAAAAGAAGAAGACAAGACTCAAATAGCTCCATCTTCTCAAAAGCTCGGGGAGTACCTGTCTACTCGTTCCTTGAGAATACAAGTAATTTGAAAAGAGAGTATCAACATAAAGTTGAGTGAGTGCATAAGTGTTTATGTTTGAAAGAATGTTTTCTGTTTCTTGAATATGTAAACTGTTCCAGAAAATCCTATATTTTCTGTTGTATATGAAAAGTAGTTTTAATCACATAAAGCTGCTCTGTTTGTAAAC